GCGCCGCCCTCGGAGTCCGCGGTCCCGGCCTGGGGAACCGTTACCCGCCCACCGCCCCTCCAGACGCCCGAATGTGGGGCTCACTGGTTCCCAAGGCTGGGTGCAGAGGACAAGGGCGTTGCGAGTAAGGAAGTTCATGATGAAGGGCTCAGGCCTTTGCGAGTGTTAGGAATGACCCCTGCAGCGTGGGTCTTAGGTTCTCTCCCTATCTTAGTCCTCAGGGGCGGCTGCACGTTTCGATGAACTGTTCAAACAGAAGTTTTTAAGTGGCATTAGCAAGCATGAGAGGTTTTCTTTGTTTTTGGAAGACTACCTAATTTTGACATCTAAGAGCTCACGATTTACGGAGGGTAAGATTTTTCACTTAAATGAAGGAAATTTGGGTTTAACGTAGTTAAATGTTTCCATTCTCTGATTTAATAGGCCCCTCCCTCTTCAGAAAAAGTGTAAATGTACGGGTTTTGAGTCCTTTATCAGGAGCCTGGTTTTATAAAATGAGTATCAAAGAGGCTTATCTGGTTCATCAGTGATGTGTCGAGTCAGTAACATAAATCAACGGGTTTTCTACGATTTTTGCCTGAATAATTTTAAAATTAAATTTTAACGAACCAGATTTTGAGACCAATGCCTTGGGTTAGTCGAAAATTAAAAGTGAAACCAAAGAAAGTCTATGGTCTTTAGGGGGAAGAGATACTTGCATCCCTACTTTGTTTTCAACAATTTGCCCGTTTCCCCAATACTGGCATGATGAGACACCTAGTGGTGATGTAGCTGAATAGTAAATTTTGTTTTAATTTAAAACTTGACCTAATCTTTGAAAATTGAGTGAAAATTGTTACTTAATAGAATGCCGAGCATAGTGGCGCACAGAATAATTCTGAGAAGCAAAGATTCGTGAATGGAGATTTAATTCGAAAACGTTACACCTTATTAATATCTGAAAGGCAAAAAATTATTTTAAAATATAAAGCAAATTGTAGAAAGCAAAAATTTGGTAATCGTGGCTCCTAAGCACATGCAAAAGTGTGACCACAAGGGAACATGTGTGAGATTTATTGAAAAGAAATAGAGGTGTGAAAAGTTAGATGCTTTCTCCAGTAAAATGATCTTCTATCAGTATGCCATGAAGAAAAAATTTTGTGTTTAGTGTAGCAGTTTCCTTTGTAACATGCTCATTCGCTCATGTATTTAACCTATGTAACATAGGCATAGATTCTAATCCCATTGAAGTCCACTAAAACATACCTTCTCAAGATCTTTTAATGAAGAAAACTCATGCATTTGACCTGAAAATTTTAAATGAAAGGTAATTTTATTAGTGTTTATTGAATAATCTGGAGAAATAGAAAAAACAATGACTTTCTTATATGAAAAAGATTTAATTCAAGTTTCTCTAAAAAAACAATACTGTTGAAAAAATTGAGTAAAATATTTTCTAATGTCATTCCTTATTCATGTAATTGCTGCTCTTGTTTAAGTAATTGACTTGAATTCCTTGCTTTCAAGTTAGTATTATAAAGGGTGCTTTTCTTACAAATAGTTGCCTATCATTTGTGATTTTTAAGCCTGAAGTAGGACACTAAAGTATTTAGAAACAGATATAAATAAGCACAATGCCGGGTGTGGTGGCACATGCCTGTAATCCCTGCACTTGGGAGGCTGAGGCAGGAGGATCGCTGTGAGTTCGAGACCAGCCTGGGCTACATAGTGAGTTCCAGGTCAGTCTCAACTACAGAGTGAGACCCTGTCTCAAAAAACCAAAAAAAGAAAAAAAAAATTAAAAGCATGACTACCTTTCATAACTCAAAAGATTTTGGCATTAGCAGTGATTCTTATAAGATATATAGTACAGGTTATATACTGTTTTAATAAGAGGAAAAATATATCTCTTTTTCTTAGTTTTTAAAACTTACTTAAACTTCCTTAAAAAATAGCATAATGTGCCAAGTGTAAACTGACCCCATATTTCTTAGGTGCAGGAGTTCATTTGAGTTAGGTCAAGTAGAATGTGTCAGTAGTTTATCAGTGAGCCAAAGAATCTTCATAAGAATTGAAGACTGAGAATTAAAACCTTGTGAATAGCCATAGGTACTAGATTTCTGCAACAAGTGTTATATGTATGCACACCCTCATTATTTCATACATTTTTCAAAACCCTGTTTAGAAAGTAGCATATATTTTAAGTAGCTTTATTTACATCCCATAACTTTTAAAGTAAATATCTACCTTACTAAGATAGCCCAGGAAGAATAATCTAGAATATTAACTAAAATTACATGCTTTTGTGCTGTTAAAGTTGTAAAATAATCTAAAAATGAATTTGCTAGATTTTTTTAAAAAGAGTAGCTCAAGAAGATATTTGCACATGATATTTGGCCTATAGTTTAATCAAGTAATCTGAAAGTTTTGGTTTATTATGTCAAGAAATTGTTTTAACTAAGATAGATTATGTAAAGGTACAAATTTCCAATGATGAATGTCATTATATTGTATACCTACAGTGTACCAATAAAATTAATAAAAAAGAAGTTGTTTTTAAGTAGGATATGCAACAGTAGCATATATAGTATAGTATATTGTGGGGGTAATTTGTTAT